GACGTCATATTTCATGACGTCATATTGACGTATCAAATTGGAGGTCTTAATGACCCCCCTACTAGGTCGAACATACTTTCGTCCAGACGCATAAGATAATAAATTAATTTTACACTTTTTTTCTACGTATTTCGAGCTTGTATACAGGGTGTTTCAAAAAACCTAACCCCCTTGCTAGGATAGGTAGAACATTGCAAAATGAGTTGGGTTTGCTCAGTAAAAAAATTTCGTAACGCCATCCGTTTTCAAGATACAAGGTATTGAAAAAATATTTTTTTACACATTTCTTACGATTATGATGAATCTACTGGCACAACATTGTGATGCAATTTTGTATGGATGTGTTTTTGTATGGATGTGATGACAATCGCATGAATTTGATTTTATATCTGACACTCATAGAGGGCGCTAGTTGCACGGTTCGTACTGAGTACTTTCAAACATAACTTTCTTGAGGTTAGATTTTTCAGTCCAAATCTGAAGTAAACTTGAACATCATTCAATTTTACACTAAAAAGGTGCTCTTGGTAAAAGTTGATACTGTGTACCGTTTTCGGGATATTTTGATTTAAAAATGCTGAAGTGTAACAGTGATGCTGGTATGAAGTAATTATAGAAGACTGTTACCTATTCATTATTAACCACGTCGACAGCTGCAAGAAAGAATTGAATATCACTTCGATGATCTCATAGCTGATCCTCAACCGTTGAGGAGATTGATGCATTCTTTAGAAAAAAGGATCAAATTGTGTATTAGTGAAAACGGAGGACATTTTGGGCATTAACTCTACTTCACATTGAATTTGGACAGAATAATCATACCTCAAAAAAGTTATGTTCGGAAGTACTCGGTACGAACAGTGTAACTAGCGCCCTCTATGAATGTCAGATATAAAAACAAATTCATGCGGTGTGTCAGCTTTCAGAACACATCCATACAGAATTCCATCACGATGTTGCCAGTAGTTTCGACATAATCGTAAAAAATGTGTAAACAAAATATTTTTTCAACATCTTGAAAACAAATGCCGTTACGACATTTTTTCACTGAACAAACCCAACTTATTTTGCAATGTTCTACCTACCCTAGCAAGGGGTTTTGTTTTTTTTTAACACCCTGTATATGTTTCTCAAAAATGGTAAGCTTCATTCGCTATTTTTGTTACATTTCATCAAACTATGATTAATAGTCCGCTACATCTCGCTGACACTAACTACATAATTCAAGGTACCATTATGGATAGCAAATGACATATTTCATATGGAGATGCGTACTAATGAGAGCTACAGGACTGAACAGGAACACCAGGACCATCGACCAGTGCATAGTTTGCAAATGAATCTACATATTCTTGTTTCAATCATTGATATATATGAGGCGATATGAGAAAAATTCTTCTTATTTTTCTTTATAGGTCATTTTTGAGACGTCATGTGGATGTTTAAATGTGACGTCTTATGGATGTGACATTTTGATCTCTCAGACATAAAGAAAATAATTGTAAAATTTGTATATCACTACTTCAAAGTTGAGAACCAACTCCCCAGAAGTCGGAATTTGTGCGGGGTTAGGAAGAGCAGGAAGTACAGCTTATAGTGAAATTCGAACCACTTCTAGGGCATCAAGGTGCTGCCAGGAAAACAACCATGAATCACACATTTCAAAGAAAAATGCTCAGCCGATAGCCGGATTCGAACCGACAGTACCTTCGCATCGTGAACGGCTATCTAGCGAATTTCAGCGCATAGAAAAACTTGGCCACATCGCCCACACGTCATTTCAGTACGTCCATTTCGTCATTTTCTGTCCAAAAAATGACGTCAATCAAACGTCACTCTGCTATCTGGGTATTGGTCATTTTTGGTTGTTTGTTTAGATCTAATCATATTCGTGTTAAAATGAGATGACTCCTTGATGCAGAGCTGCTTGGGGATCTCGAATGTGATAATTTTGACTCATTGGCATTTTTCGAGTATAGTTTGATTATCGTACGTTGATATTTAAGGTATACGTGGAAGTACGTGAGATAACATACACCCGTAAGCCAACTATATATTGATGCAAACGTGAAGAATCGGAGAATGCGCATACGTAGCTGTCAATTTCTACGTTTTCTTTAACGTTCATGGCAACAATTCAACTCTCTAATGGCACCAATGCGGTAGGATCAGATGAGTATTCAATGGCATTTTAATCCACCAGCAACTCCTCACTTTGGAGGTTTCTGGAACTGTAATGTAAAACCCATGAAAACACATCACAAAATTGGTGAGCAGATTCTGACTTTGGAAGAATTTCATACTTTGCTAACACAAATTGAAGCGGTATTCAACTCTAGACCTCTTTGTAGCTTGAGCATTGACCCCAATGAATTGAATGCCCTTTCCCCAGTCATGGGGCCAGGTAGCCGTGCGGACAGAGTGTCGGTATTCTAATTCGCATTCGCTTGCCGGTCGTGGGTTCGATTCCCAACGACTGCAGGAAATTTTCTGATGGACCAAGAAAGTGTTTGGGATCACACGTTAAAAGGTAAGGCCCCCGTCATTCCTTGCTCGGACAAGACTCTCGAAGACTTCTGAAAGTTGCTCGTGAGGGGGCAACCGAATGACGGATAGAACAATTTTAGACCAAAATTTTCTGACATCTGAAGCGCTATGTGCTCCTCCTGATCAAGATCTCACATCAGTTCCATTGGATCACCAATCAACATGGCAACTTATGCAGCGTTGTCTCCAGGATTTTTGGCGCAGTTGGCATTCCGAGTATTTGAACTCGCTCCAACAACGCTCGAAGTGGAATGAATCTGATGTATTGCCCAATATCGGTTCTTTGGTAATAATTCGTGACGAAATCTTGCCACCATTACAATGGAAGTTGGGAAGGATATCAGATTTATATCCTGGTAAAGATGAAATCCCTCGAGTAGCTGGTTGTTGAAGCGCCAATTAGTGATGAACTTGTGCCCATTACCTGTACAGTAGGCTCTAGCACATTTCCTCGTTTATAGTTTTTCAAATATTCAATAGTTTATTATTAGATTGTGAGTTATGGCTCAATCTATTTTCTTGGTTTCAGTTCATAAGTTTGTGTTGATTCGTATTGATTGTAATTATACGAAATATAAAATATAATTTTTGATATTTTGGTGGGCGGAATGTTTCACCTCACCTTAATTTAGTTATATTTGTTGATTTGAGTTTTCAAAGTAAAATCATGTACTGATGTTTTTCACGCCATATGCCTCCCAAGTGGTATATGCGGAATATCGACCATAAACACCCGCTGAAGAGACAGAGTCCAACTATCGTTTGAACGGGTAACATCTCGGTATTGTTCATAGAGAGTGATAGGTGGTGATAGTGACGATTTTTCCTTGTTTCTTGCATGACTCTCGATAGTTTATATGATATTGAACGATAATCGACCACTTTGTGTGTATGATTTGGCTTCGCAACCCTAAAATTGGAATATCGGCGCCGGTAGCTGTAGAGAATGAAACTACAAGCAGTTATACAAGGTTAGAGGTATGAAAACTGGCGTACCTATATGATTTCGTTTCAATTCGTCATTCGATTAAATACAGTCCACAAATTCGAACAAAATTCGTTTCGTTCAAATATTAAAAAACCACTGATTAGCAGAGGTTCAGAGCTCGGCTTGATGTGAAATAACCATCAATAATGGCATCAGTGTCACAGAGAACTTGATTCTGAGACAGAGAAGTTTTGTGATGCAATTAATGAAGTCAATAATGGAACTACGAGATCAGTCATCACTTTGCCAAAGAAATCCTTCCGGGAGATATTCTTGAATTCGTTTCCGAGAAAAAGACAAATCAGAGAGTGGAAGATGACGAAGAGGTCGGGAAGAATCTTTCTCAGTTTCTTCCTTGGAGCGTGGTCGTGAAGAGGCAGTTCCAGATCCTGAGGAGGCGGAGGTGCTTGGGAGACACTTTCAGTCTACCAATAAAATCGATGGCAGCCATTGCGGCCAGATCAGGGCTCTGCCAACGGTGCTTTTGTCTCGTCAAGTTTTGGGTCAGGCCATATGCAGCCCAACAGAAATAGAAGACATAAAATTCCTAAACATCCATAAGGCTCCAGGACTCGATTGGATATACGTCGTTCTCCTGAAAAATTTGCCTCGAAAGGCTCTGGTTCAATTATCTACAAGTTTTACACTATATCATCAACAAAATAATTGAAGAACCAGTACTATCCAGAGTGCCTGAAGATTAGTCTTGTGCCAATACAAAATTCAGGTGAATCCAATGCTCCCAGGGAAACTATCGTCCCATATATCTGATCAGCATAGTAGCTAATAAGATAGTGGATGACGTCCTTTCCAGGCTGATTGAGGCACAGGTCGAAGACCTGGAACCTGATTCCCGATGAACAATTCGGGTACCGCGAGGATATATAGCAGTGCTCGAATTGTTCACAGGATGAAAGAGGTATCTAATCAGGATAAAAAAAACCGTTATGGTCATGATGAATGTCGAAAAGGCTTTCGACACTGTCTGGCACAAAGGTTTGATGGGGAAGATGTTGAAGGCTAATGTGCCCATTTTCACCATTGAAATTGTCGACTCGTATCTTATTAACGAAAAATCCGAGCTGAGTCAAATGACGTTTGCTCTGGGGATTTTCCGCTAGAAGCGGGTATTCCACAGGAGTCGTGTCGATTTCCTCTGCTATATTCAATATTCATGCACGATTTTTCTGTGTATTGAGTGTTGCATTGTATGCTGACACACAGAATTATATGCGCACTCGTTCTACTCGGGCATCGTCAGGACTCAGATATATCCAGATTTATCTGGACAGGGGAGTCATTCCATATTTTCAGGAGTCATTCGAATTTTCATTATTTTATTTGGCCAGAACAAATTCAACTTGGGAGAAAATGTTCGTTGAGCAACCTTGTATGTACCTACTACTGATTACAAGTTATTGCCTGAAAGTATTATAATTGGATGGTTTCTTATCATCTGAAACATTGTGAACAGTAACTATAGGTACCTATATATATATTGTGAATGGATGTCCTGAAGCGTGTTTTTTGAAGTATTCTAATATAATTGTGCTTTACATCAGTTCTTGTTGAATGTCCAATATTTATATTGAGGTGAGTTATACAGTGCTTGTGATTCAAAACCGCACAACCCTTTATATTAGGATGCGTTGACTGATTTCGACAAATAATTTTGAATATAGTATACATGAGATTGTATAAAACTACTCTATAATTCTCATTCACAATATACCAGGTGTCAAAAAATCTATCAGGCAAGTCATAACTTCTAGAATATCAGCTGTATCAGGATGAAAGTCACTGTAGGTTAATGGTATTCGAAGAGTATTTTCTTACTTATTTTTCACTTTTCGGTCGCTTCTGGTTTCACCGGAAATGGCTCCGGTTTTAAATTTCCACACGGATACAGCTTGTAACATTTTATGAATTTTGAAACAATTCTGAATCTGAAAAGATTCGACATCTACACATTTTTTTAATAACTTTCAGAATTGCACAAAATTGAGGTACTCACTGTAACTATTTTTTCATAAAGCTCAATGTCACTGTCTTTACTTATGTGAGTACCCTGTTTTTCAAGGAAGACTTGATGAGAATAACTATAAAATTTTATGAATCATGTCTATATCCAATATATCCATGGCAAACTTGACAAGAGTAAATAAATTATCATCCAATATTTTCTAAAATAGTAATATTCGATTTATGTTTATGTTTTTATCCAATCGCAAACGAATGAGTATCGTTAGATTCGTTAAAAAATCCTTATTTCGAAAATTACTTGTCAAAAAAGGAACGTCATTTGAAAAATAGTATATAGTTAGACACAAAAAAATACTAAAACTTTGCGATTGTAATAATTTTCGGATATCACTAGAGGTCCTTATCCTCATCTAGATTAGTTCGGTCACGGCCACCTAGATGCAATAATAAAAATGACTCTGAAAAAATGAGTTAGGCGAGAAACTTTCTAAAATGTCATATTCTGATCCAGAATTGCCTCAGGAATCCAATAATGTGTGTTTCAATCAAAAATTCGAAACTGGGGCAATTTCTGGTGAAACCAGAAGTGACCGGAAAATGAAAATTTTGCGAAAGCTTTCTTCTTTACAAGTACCATCTACCTATATCAAATCTCATATTAATACATCTAAATTAGAGGAGTCGAGTTTCTTCTAATAGATAAGTTGACACCCAGTATTGAATAAAATGAAGGTAAAAAATGATTTCACAATAATTTAAAACAATGAAGTTCTTCATCATCTTACTCGAAATAAAAACCATCTCCATCTGAGAGAAAAGCTCCAGAAAATGAAGAATCACCATATTTTTCAAAATCTCCAGTCAAATCGATGACTTGCCCACTACAATGAAATCATTTTCATCATTGAAAATATTGAAAATTGTGCTAATAAAATATGTCTTCAATAATATTTGTAAAGGTATATCACAGATAAAAGAGATTATTTACGTGAAACAATCCCATATTTGTTTGAGTTTCTTGTTTGAAGCAAATATTATGTTCGACCTGTAGAAATATTGTTCATCCCAAAAAATTCAATCATTCAGTCAACAATAATTAGCGACCTCTTTCGGCATTTGAGTTCAATCATTCATTCATGTGCCTCCGCGACCAGTTCATAGATAAACCTACTCTGTCCAGTTGTGTCGGTCTAGTTCGTGAAAGAGGTATTTTTATCAATATGATTTTTGTTCGTGAAAAAAGAGTTGAATATGACTTGTGAGATCAGTTATTTTTGGAAAAGTGATGAAATGCATTTTAATGATAGGAATTCGATGAGAGCTCCGATCAGAATGCAAAATCGAGCTACAGTTTGATTTCGGCATTCCAAGGTAAGCACTCATATTTTTAGAAAAATGATATTATTTTGCATTGCTGTTATATTGTATACCTCACAATACAATACATATAGGAAGTTTCATAGTAGGTACACATCGAATTGAATGATATATTTCAAAGTTTAAAACATCGACAGTCACCGAGAAGTTTGTTTTCATACTGAACTCTATACTCGAAAGTGGAAATAAAACTACTGTTGATATACAATGTATTGAAGGAATCCGAGAACAAATCAGATATGAACATCGATCAATACATGTCGGTTCTTATTGAAATTCTATTATTTCATACAAATTATCACTGATGTCAGTCAAATAATCATTATTTCATTCAAATGTAGAATAAACAAATGATATGTTTCTCTGAAATCAATGGAAATGAATTCACTATAGAGAAATACCTTGTCAAAAAAAGATTTTCAATCATTTTACAGATTCAGGTTCACCCTTATATTCAAAATGGATGAGCAGCAAATACTGATACAGGATGTCCCTACGAAAACTGAACGAAGACCGACTGAATAACTTCCGCGAGTAGAACGACATACTGCAGTTAGGACAATCATAGAATATGAATCCACGAAGGTTTGTAAATCTGCGTATTTTAGCGTATTTTTTTCAACAAATATATTCCTGGGAGGTATTCAATATGTTTCGTTTTCGTCTGTATATTATACAATATAAGGCTTGATGAAATGAGTTGAGATTATTAATTTTGTTCACAGGTACAACGGATCAAAAAAATGAACGTAATGGAATCGTATACCGAGAGCAATGATGGAAGATTATCAAAGAACCTGATGACGTCCCTATGATGGATATATGACATGATTCGTTCGCAGTTTACCAGTTATATAAAAATTTCCTGGATTTAAACTTCGAGTGAAACCTAAGTTCTATATGAAATTTCATTGTGTTATGATGTAACCATACTTTTTCGAATTGTGAACACGATAATAAAATATTCAAAAAAATCATGACGACTAAAAATATATCAAAATGATGGAAACATATATGTTGAACCAAATATATAATTTCTTTGATGAAAACTATGTATTTATTAACCTGCAAGAGTATTGTATAGTGATACAAACAATTATGATATTTGATTGATTGGTTAAAAAAATCAAGAATCAATCATCTCAGATGAATTTACTGAATTCGGAGAAATCATTTTTTGAAAGTGCGAATAAATGGAAACCAAGGTTGTTTGTTGGACTTATTCAAACTTCAGATTCCTTCGACTCTGATAAGATTTGTTAAATTCAAAGATTTGTATTTCTCTGTGATACGAATATAAAAAATAAATTCAAAATCATTATCTGAGTAGATTGAATCACACAAATTGCCACGGCTGTGACATTATCGATTCTCAAAAGAATATTACGGTTCAGAGATTTTTTGAGAAACTTTAGAGAGCTCTGAATACTGCTTGAATTTTCAACCAATTTATATGTTTTTCCTCTTTGCGAAGCTCCATAACCCTCTAGCTACTTCGTTATCACAAACCCCTTCCTAGCCATCTGAAAATATTTCAAGGGGAAACGGTTTTTGCTTCACTTCTTTTCCTTTTTTTTTTTGCAATTGCATACTTCGTTGGTCCCAGCACTGGGACCAAACGCCCCATAAGTCGAAACTTGTGCGGGGCTAACTAGGATTCGAACCTATGATAGTTGCATGTTCGCATTGATGTTTCCCTGATTATGCCTGAGTGCTTAAATTTTTTCAATTTCGAACTTTTTTGTATAGATCCAGCCATCTTATTGTAGGTTCTCATCTTGCACGTATGTTTTTCTGCGGTCGATCTCAGACATAATATAACATCCGTATTTTTTTCTTGTGGCAAACTGATGGTCATATCTTTCAAATTGAATATGAACCCCAAATATTTGAATTTTTCATAAATTATTAGGAAACCCAAAATTGAGAAAACTTTTTCTGCTTCATAAACGAAATATTGACACCTAGACAATGTATTTCCCATAATGAGTATGTCATCCAAGTGGGTAATTGATGTACAACCTCTGAGTCTCATATATTTTCCGAAAGGTTTCATTAATTTTGTGAAAACATATGGAGCTATGTTGAGGCCAAAGGGTAGGCATGTGAATTCAAATAATTTACCATCAAATTGAAATCTCAAATATTTTCTATCTTCTGGTGCAACCGGTAGGTATAAGAAAAATATGCATCTTTTAGATCCCATGAAGCACTCATGTGTCGAGAGCTTCATAACAGATCTAATTATCCATTTTCAAATGTGGCGCTAGTATATACGCGTTTAGCTTTTTGAGATTCAAAATGAACCTCTGTTTTCCGATTGTTTTTTAATGAGCAAGTACGATGACAAAAATTCACCTGGAGTGTGAACACAACGTTCAATGACACCTTTTCTAATGAACCCTTCAATTTCATGTAGTTATTTCGAATGTTCGGATTTCTCAATGTTGAAAACAGGGACATACAATTGATGTGGAGTTGAGGTAAATGGTATGCTGAAGCTAAGTAGTCAGTCTCCAAAGGTATGATCGAAACTGAGCCTGGCTGGCATTATGTCCGATGGTTTGGTTGCAGATTCCATTTGTACTTCTTGTAGAATGACCATGTGACCAGTGACATCACCTGGTCTGGCCAATTCAGTGGAGTTCAGTCTGTATGCACATCTTTCGGCATATCCAGAGAGCTGAAATTGCCCTATAGACGATTTTGGTCAAGTGTTGGTTCCACGTGAGTTTCTTGTCTAGGATTACTCTTAGATATTTGACCTCTTCGGAGAAATTGATCGGCGTCCCATCCATAATGGGTTCCTTTAACTTGATCTTCCTTCTTTCGGTGAATGGAACGATGACCGTTTTGCTTGGGTTGACATTCAAGCCCTCCTGACAGCACCAGTCTTTCAGCAAGTTGAGTGCAGTCTGCATTAGGTTTGATAAAATCCTATCATGCTTGCCTCTTATTATTATGACAATGTCATCCGCATAGCCTTGAATATCGAGTCCATGGTCATGGGAAAACAAGACAAATTTAATAAATATATAATTTATTACTTGCTCGTTGAACCGTCAGTTTTCAAAGCTTGTGTGATGTTCCTTTCCATTCGAGCTAATTTCTTCTTGATATTCGCCATCTCATCCATCAATTTCCTCTTATCTCTAGTAAGTTTCGACAATTTGAATAAAACACGTGAAATTCACCAAAAACTGATTCGCTTTTCACACTTGTGATCACTTCGA